TTTGGGCTTATGGTAGATGGGCAGCTCTCTATGGTCCCCTTTCTTTGGGGTACCCTATAAAACACCCCCCCCCCCCCCCTAAAACAATGTCCTTAAAAGGGACCCGAATCTAGAGAACTACTCAAATGAAAGCATCTATGAATGAACAAAATGTGCTTTTAGGGTTCCGATAAAGAAGGCGTGAAGGGAGGAACCCCTAGAAGGGACCCTTAATCTTATTCCCCTACAGAGCCCCTACATATACGCTCCCTTTCTACCTAAGTAACCCCCAAAGAACTCCTAAATAATTGCTAAGGTCCCTTGTAATGGTCCCCCCCTTGAGCCCCTTGAGATATTGTGGTAGCTAGAGGTGCGCCACCACACCCAAGCTGAAGACGTCGCAGCGGTCATCGAAGCCTAAATCCACAGTTTTTGGGGTGTAGGGTTTAGGGTTTTAGGGTTTAGGGCTTAGGGTTTTAGGGTTTACGGTTTAGGGTTTTAGGTTTAGGGTTCAGGGGAATGCCATGGTCTCTTGGGCTTGTAGGGTTCTAAGGGAAATTACACTGACATGGTCTCTGGGGTTCTTAGAGTTCTAAGCGCAATTTCATGGTCTCTTCTATACGCTTCGTTACTTCTATGATTCTGAAATGTGGGCCCGATTAAGTTGCATGAGGTGTTTCAGGGGTATACAAGGACCCAGAAAACCAAGTGCCCTTGCAACTACCCGAAGAGCCGTTGACGGACCCTAAACAGACCCAGGGTTTAGGGTTTAGGGTTTAGGGGGTTGGCCACAAAAAGGCCCTTCCTACCCAGCAGCATGGGAAAATGTAAAGCATGTCCCAAGGGTCGGCCCTATTAGGAGTATCTTCAGGGAAACCTTGAGGGGTACAACCCTAATTAAACCCTAAACCCTAAACCCTAAAGCCTAAAGCCTGAACCCTGAACCCTGAACCCTGAACCCTGAACCCTAAACCCACACCCTAAACCCTAAAACCACCTTAGGGGTACGAGTCTTAACCCCTTGACACCTGGGATGACGTTTTTTGCACAGGAGCCACGCATGTGGCAGATCTGGCTCTGATCCCTGGCGACGAAAGCCGAAATCTTTTCCCGCCAACCACTGAGGCCCTAAATCGAACCCCTGAACCCCTAAACCCTAAACCCTAAACCCTACTTCCGAAGAAGCTCTCCTGGGGGGCTGTGCGAAGATCCCAAACCGCTAGGCTCAGGGTTGCTGGGGTGTTTAAGGGCTCTTTTGCAGGACTGGTAGCCCTAAACCCTACACTTTAAACCCTAAACCCTAGACCCTAGCCAGGCGCAGCCAGGGGTCTGCTTCGCTTCCCAAGCATGCAGTCAATCACCTGCAAGACCCACCGGTTCTGAGTATGGATTGACGTGTCTCATCGTTGTTGCTGGTGCTGCTGCCACAGGGTTTTTTGGGTTTAAGTCCGTTAATATGGTCCTTACCTTCCTGAAAGGGTTCTGACGTACAGGCCCTTGGGCTTTAGAGGGTAGGTAGGGGATCCTGGTTATGAATACATGTACTTTCCTAAAATCGGGATATGGTTTTCGGGGTTCTGTGGGAAAGCAAGCAGAAACCAAACCCTAAACCCTAAACCCTAAAACCTAAACCCTAAACCCTGAACCCTAAACCTTGAACACTAAACCCTAAACCCGAAACCCTAAACCCTAAACCCTAACCCGAAACCCTAACCCTAAACCCTAAACCCCTTTCCTCACCGCGCCTCCGGGGCCATCGTCTGCGGAGTACCAGCCGGCATAGGCCGCGCGTCCCCTCCGGCCCAAGCTTTCCGGGGGGTTTAATCTTCACCAGGGTTGCCTGAAGTTGCATTTTCCTTTTTTGTGTTACTTGTTTTAACGTAGAAGGGTACTCAGAGTTGAGGGTGCAGTGCTCATCAGTTGCGTTTTTGTTCCAAGAAGTTTTGAGGGTTCAGGATTGAGGGTACCAAGATTAATGAGGGAAGAAGATATCCTGCACAGTATAGCCCTAAACCCTAAACCCGAAGCAGGCTCCTGAATGGAGCGGCCTTCGGGCAGACTGCGCTGGAGTGTTCATGGCGAGTCTTGTCACCGGGTTTAAGGTTTAGGGTTTAGGGTTTAGGGTTTAGGGTTTATGGGGTGTAAGGTGCTACTTGGAGGCTAGTGGGCAGTTATAAGTAGGGTTAGAAGTAGCGCGAAAGACTTGCACCTCATGCGAGGCTTTTTTGAAGGGGCTATAGCCCCTAAGCCCTATAAACCCTATAGATCATTGATACTTGGAGCTTCATGGGTGGTGATAAGTAGGGTCAGAAGTATGGTAGCGCTACTTGCAACCTTCTTTCGGGTACTTACAACCCTACTTAACACTACCCATGAACCTCCATGGGTTTTGTGGGCTCACTGGGCCTGCAGGAACCAGGAAGCCGAAAATCCGAAACCCTGAAAAGGTCCTAGGCTCATTGGGGGGTGGGGTTTAGGGTTTAGGGTTTAGGGTTTAGGGTTTAGGGTTAGGGTTGAGGGTTGAGGGTTTCGGGTTTCGGGTTTAGGGTTGAGGGTTGAGGGTTGAGGGTTGAGGGTTGAGGGTTTAGGGTTTAGGGTTCAGGATCTTGCCCAATTTCTTGGGGCGGGGGAGGGGGGGGGGGTTTGTTTTTCAGGAAATTCTGGACCTTTGCTGGGGCGAAAAGGCGGCCCAAACTTTTTGACACTCCCACCGATGAAACACGTTCAGGGCTTTTAACCCTAAACCCGAAACCCTAAACCCTAAACCCTCTCACGATCGCGTGAGGCGTTGGGCTCAAGCGCTTCTAGGGCGTCAGGGCCAGGGCTTCATGTGGCACATCAGTTGCCCGAGTCTCGCCAGGCCTGCTGATGATCGAAACCTTCGCATGGGTTTAGGGTTTAGGGTTTAGAGCGAGCTCTTGCAACGCAACGTCCGACGTCACGCTGCTCCAAGGATCGTACTTGAGATACTTGGAGATTCATGGGAATTTAAAAGTAGCCACATATGGGTAGTTTTCAAGATTAGCGTCCGTTTTGGGGGGTCCTGCTTATAAGGCGTCGTGCTATAGAAGGGGATCCCAAGAAAGCAACCCTGCTTTTGAGAACTACCCCTAAGGTTTTAGGGCCTCTTCCTTAATGGTGGTTCATGGGTCATTCTAAGTAGGGTTGTAAGTACCCTAAGAAGGGTTATAACTATCGGTACCATCCCTACTTATTACCTTCATTACTTGAAATGAGAATAAGGAAAAAGGAAAATTCCTTAATTAAGGGGACGTTGGGCTTTCTGGGGACTTGTCCGACTTGTCCAATTCAAAAGCGCTCTACCTACACATTTGTGGAAGAAAGGCTAACAGATACTTCGTGGACCCCTACCAATCCCATGGCCTAAGCCCTGAACCCACACCAGGATTGGTGACGATACCCACAGCAGCATATATATATATATATATATACAGATGTAAATAAACATATATGTGTGTTTTGCATGTTGGTTTAGTTAAACTTATATTTCCAGTGTATACGTTGTATTCTAATCACAACCATACATATACAGCAACAACAAGGCAGTATGACCCTAATCCCTAAACCCTAAACCCCAAACCCTAAACCCTAAACCCGAAAATGGCCAAAGCCAAGCCACGACTCAGCCACGCCCAGGTCAATGAGCACCAAATGTGGGGGCCCCGAGGGGCTCAGGAGCATCAGGTTCTCCAGTTTCACCTTTTCAGGCAATGTCTGCATGCATATAAATAAATATATATATATATACACATGTATATCTGTATGTATGTATATATATATATATCCATTCAATGACATTGCATCATTCAGATATGGACAAGAAATGAATATGTATGTATATATATATATATATGGTGCCCCCCCCGCCCCCTCCAAAACCCCTAAACCCTAAACCCTAAACCCTAAACCCTACACCTCAAACCCTAAACCCTAAACCCTAAACCCAAACCCTTAACCCTAAACCCTAAACCCTAAGGATCACAGGGTTGGCGCCGTTTGCTCTCGGAGAGCAAAGAGGGCCGACCCGCGAACGCCATCTGCAGAAAAAAGCCCCCGGTACTTGGAGGGTCATGGGTAACCCTAAACCCTAAATCCTAAACCCTAAACCCTAAACCCTAGACCCTAAACCCTAAACCTGGTAGGCAGGGCTATAAGTACCCTAAGTAGGGTTATAAGTAGAACTGCCATACTTATAACCCTACTTCTAATTACCCAAGTGAACCTCCAAGTCTCGCAAACAGCCGCCAAGTGCGGGCCCCGATCTAAAATACTTGCGGCCCGGTGGCGTCCTTGTGAATTCTGGATTCCTTGTCTCAAGGGTACCCTAAACCCTAAACCCTAAACACTAAACCCTAAACCCTAAACCCTAAACCCTAAACCCTAAACCTTAAACCCGAAACCCTAAACCCTAAACCCTAAACCGTGCCGCGGCTACTCGAGTTGTTAAGCGGAGCCTTGAGGTTGAGTATTCGGCAACGCAGCTGACATGGTGGCTGCATGATGTGTTCGGGCCCCAGGCTTGTTTTCCACATATCCAATCTGGCACAAGGAAGGATGACAGCTGCAGCCAGAAGTAGATGACGGCACCCCAAGTGAGTAAGTCTTGACGCCACTTTAGGGTTTAGGCTTTTAGGGGCTTATGAACTACTTCCAAGCACGCCAAGCGTACTTTACAAGCCAAGATGCGTAATGCAAGTGCCGAAGGGCATACAGCGCTTGCTGAAGCATTTCGGCCATGAAGCCTTCCTTGCTTTTATACTCAACCCTAAACCCTAAACCCTAAATGGCAGCTTGCAAGTGACAGCTCGGGATCTGCACTCTTGCAACAGAAGGCCGAAACAGTCACACTGTGCCCCAACTTCTTCAAAGCACCTCCCCATTCCAATCTTTCTTGGCATAGCTATACTATCTCTGACTACATGTATGTATACATATATATATATATATGTATATATATATATGTATACATCTTTAAGGAGCTGGGTCTGGGTGGTTTAGCACTACAGAAAGGAGTCAGTATGCTTTGGTTTCCCAGCTTCGCTCAGCTTTGGGCGCTCCCCCTTCGGGGTCTTGAGCGTGTTGAGAAGCTGGCGCAGGGTGCCCCCATTGACCGCCTTCAGGGTTTAGGGTTTAGGGTTTGGGGTTTAGGGTTCAGGGTTTAGGGTTTGGGGTTTAGGGTTCAGGGTTTAGGGTTTATGTTTGGGGTTTAGGGTTTGGGGTTTAGGGTATGGTGCTGAAGCATGTTGAGCAGCACACTTGGCTATGGCACACACTGTGCCTCCATAACGAAGTATGCGTATCTCTCGTCTTGAAAGAAGTCAAAGAGCTTGATGATGTGCGGGTGGTTGGTATGCTGCATCTGCCAGAACTCCTGCACCAGATCGCCCAAACATGCAAACTTAATCGTCATGAAGAGTCGCGTCGCGGTCGTAGTCACTAGTCTCCCATGTTCCAATTTTACCTTGTAGATTCCTTGGTTTGAGGCACCCTGGTCGGTCATGAACCTTGGCTGCACTTAGTAGGGTTTACATTTTAGCTGCCTTGTTAAGAAACCCCAATTAAACCCAAAAAGGCTAAAAGGATCTAAAGTTACAGTAAAGCGCCACAGAGGAACCCGGAGGCCGGGACATTGCCTGCTCGACCATCTGCTCCGCCTCGGCGGCGGAGATCTGAAAATGCTTCGCCAGCTTCTGCCGGTCGACACCTTCTGCTGAGGGTGGTCGTGCTTCGGCTGATGGACGTTGCCACGACACGTGCAGAGCTTTTACAGTTCAAAAAATATCCGACAACCACATTGCAAAAATCTTCCGCTCCAAGCAGGTCGCGCTTCATTGCCTGCAGGTCCTGCGTGGCCTGGTCCGGGTCAGACATGAGCGCCCACAGGAGCACAGTGCTTTCGTGCTCGTCATGGCAAAACAAAAACCCATGAGGCAGCAAATCCGAGAATCAACCGAGGAAGTTATATGAACATTGGCTTATGGCCTCATTCCGAACGAGGAAGACACGGGCGAAGGCGCCGCCGCCAATGTCCGCGTCCACGAAGGTGTAACCTCCCAGTTCACTCGTTCTTGATGACTGGTGCTTCATGTGGGGAACCATGACACCATGATCTGAATCGAATCGTTAATCTGGCGCACATTAAAATGTCTTCCATGCGGCCAACATGGTGTTTAAGGTGAATTAGGCGGTTTAGGGTAAACACCCTACATCCGGCAGAGCCCTCGACCGCTTCTTTAAGGAACTTTTGATTTAGGTCCAATTCCCAGTTTACAAACAGAACCCCCCCCCCCCCCGCTCCCCCTTCCAATCTCAAAACCTTAAGAAGACACAAAAACCCTATAAAGCCTGCAAACCCTGTAAACCCTGTTGAACCCTGTCACCCCTTCAAACCCTAATAAGCCCTGGAAACTTTAACGAACCCTGCCAAAAACGCCACAAACCCGAATAAACCCTAAACCATTTTGTTGAACCAAGACTAACCCTAAACCCTAAACCATAAACCCTGAACCCTAAACCCTAAACCCTAAACCCAAAACCCTAAACCCTAAGCCCTAAGACCTAAGACCTAAGCCCTAAACCCTAAACCCTAAACCCTAAACCCTAAACCCTAAACCCTAAACCCTAAGCCCTGGCCTTCGGGGCAGGGCTCCAAGCGCCTCAGTCCCGCCGCGTCGCGCCGCTTCGAGTCGAGCCCCGTAATCTTCTGCACCGGGAACCTGGGGAAAAAAGGAGTTTAGGGTTTAGGGTTTAGGGTTTAGGGTTTAGGGTTTAGGGCCACTCGGAGGTTCATAGATGGTCACACGTAGGGCTGTAAGCATGGTATTCGTACTTAAAACTACCCATGAACCTCCACATAGTGCAGAGTTCCCCTTAAAACGGACCTCTCCCTAAGAAGGGAGCCCAATTTATGGGACACCTTCACCTGACTTTGGGGGCTTTTTGAGAGCCCCAATACCCCTTCATTGCTCAGGCAGAGTGGTCCTGGCTTTCAGGTGCATCAACATAGGCTTGAGGAGAAAGCGCAAGAAAAGGGGAGCTCAATTGCGGGTTCATCGCCCCCCTCCCCCCAGTCCTTCTTCCCTACTTGCAGGGCCTTGGGCCCCCGGAAACCTTTAGGGTCTTTGGCTCAGGGGGCTTCGGGGGCAGCAATTTCGGGGTCGAGGGAACCTAACTTAGATCTTCAAGGACATCCTGCCACTGATATCCCGTGCTTGATGCTCGACCCCCCCTCCCAAAGCCGGTTTAGGGTTTAGGGTTTAGGGTTTAGGGTTTAGGGTTTAGGGTGACCTCGAAACCCCAAACTCTAAAACATGGCTTTCCTCAAGCCTGTCCAGAGCCTGATGCGCCCATACTTTTGGGAGGTCGCTGGCCATCGTTGATATCGTTATGGGCACTACACACCTAAACCCCTAATTAACCCCTAAACCCTAAACCCTAAACCCTACACCCTACACCCTACACCCTAAACCCTAAACCCTAAGTAAGGGATTTCAGCCAGCAGCGGGGTGCCGGCCGGCTTCTTGAACATGGTCAGGTTGCCGACACCTGCCTGCGAAGTCAGAGCACCCTAAACCTGCAGCCCGAAACCCTAAACCCTAAGAATGAAGGTATCCTAACATGGTCCTTCAGGGTTTCAAAGGCTTTGGGGGGGGGTGGGGGGGGCACACAACATCAGCTTGAACACCTTAAGATTGTACCCTTGGGTTTGGGGGGGCGCCTTTTTTAAGGATCCTTAAGGGGATAAAAGGGCCATACTAGGAGTTTGTGAAGCGGAACCTTTAGGGTACAACCTTAAGGGGTACGAGTCTGCATCCCTTCACTCCGGCTTCAACCCTAAACCCTAAAGCCTAAACCCTAATGTTGCACTGTCTTTAGTGTGGGGCCCCCCCCCCCTCCCCCCCCAACAAATTTGGACCCTCCATAAACGCGTGGCCCAGTGAGCCCCCCAAACAAATTTGGGGGGGGGGGGGGGGGGGGGGAACCACCCTCAGGGCCTCAAGCCTTTAGGACCTCAAGGGCTGAAGATTTCCAGCCTTTAAGATTCCTGGAGCCCAAGGCCCTCAGGGCCTCAAGCCTTACTGCGTAAGCCCTTACCCCTAAACACAAACCTTAAGAAAAACAAAAAAAAACATCCGAACAAAAACTTGGTATTATAGAGGGTAGCCAGACAAACTTGCCAAAGACAGCCTGACCGGCCCGTGGGCTACCTATCGCAAAATTTGTTTGGGGCCTCGTTTCGTAATGAATTTGCATAAGGCTTTACATGGAACTGGCCGGGCTTAGATTTCTGGATTCTCCGCGCTCTGGCTCTTTAAGATTCCTGGAGCCCAAGCCCTCAGGGTTTAGGGCTGCGTAAGCTCTTAACCCAGAACACAAACCCTAAAAAACAAAGTCCGGAAAAAACAACTTGTGAAAATAGACACTACCCCGAACAAACTCGGTTCGCTGAATAAATTTTCGAAACTTGTGATTATAGACCATCCTTATACTAAAGTCGGTGCAACATTAAATCCTATACCCACTGCAGCCATGTGACAACATGACAGGCTATCTCGGACCGCACCGCGGTTCGGATGACGTCTGTTGCCTTTTGCCGGACTTCGTGTAGGGTCTAGGGTTTAGGGTTAAGGGTTAAGGGTTTAGGGGTTGTCGAAGAGTAGTTACATGGTCCCTGAATATGGGCACCCCTTGTATGCCCCCTTGTATACCCTACAAAACCCAAGGGCAGAACCGTTTTAAAGAAGATAAGGGACCATACTAAGGGGACCAAGTATCTATCCCCCCCGCCCAAACCCTAAACCCTAAACCCTAAACCCTAAACCCTAAACCCCTCTCAGATTTGGGAGTCCAAGGCCCCCTAAGGTGCGGGAAGGCACAACATCCTTGAACTTTAGGGTTTAGGGTTTAGGGTTTAGGGTTTAGGGTTTAGGGTTTAGGGTTTAGGGTTTAGGGTTTAGGGTTTAGGGCTTCGGGTTTAGGGTCCTCAAGCCGAACGGAGGTGGTGATTCTTAAGTGGGGATCCCTGGACCGTATCGCCCCCTGGGGCCCCTGAGCCCTCAACCCTAAACCCTAAACCCTAAACCCTAAACCCTAAACCCTAAACCCTAAACCCTAAACCTTAAACCCTAAACCCTACACCCTAAACTCAAATCCATTTCGTGACCATGGCGGGTCCGGGGCTTCTTTTGTGATTGACCCGGCCGCCTCGCCTAGCTAACACTAACGCATGTGTGCAGAAACGCAAAAGTAAAGGTCAGCAGAAAACCTCCCTTCAACTAAACCACACACGCCAAACCCTAAACCCTAAACCCTAACATGTTGCGGGTGGAGGCTTTCGGGCTTGGGGCTTTCAAGCAAAAACTCCCAAAGATCTCAATCCACCTCAATCAAGAAATCGGCCTAACCTCATGACACGGGACTACTTTCCGTAAGGGATGTTTGGGCTTCCTGGGCCCTAAACCCTAAACAACCCAAACCCTAAACTCCCGGGGCCCTGTAATCAAAGAATTTCGGGGGTTTAGGGTTTAGGGTTGGGGTTTAGGGTTTAGGGTTTAGGGTTTAGGGTTTAGGGTTTAGGGTTTAGGGTTTAGGGTTTAGGGTTTAGGGTTTAGGGTTTAGGGTTTAGGGTTTAGGGTTTAGGGTTTAGGGTTTAGGGTTTTTAGGGTTTACAGGGTTTACAGGGTTTACAGGGTTTACAGGGTTTACAGAGTTTAGGGTTTAGGGATATTGGGCTCCCTGAGCCCAGGCCCGAAGAGGTTGCCCTAACCCTAAACCCTAAACCCAAAACCCAAAACCCTAAACCCTAAACCCTAAACCCTAGCTTTTGCAGTCGCGTAGTGAGCAGTTCTGAGGCATCTGCATCGCCGAGCCCCTCACCCGCCGCCAGGGCACACCTCAAATGCCAGTTTAGGGTTTGGGGTTTAGGGTTTAGGGTTTAGGGTTAGGGTTTAGGGTTTAGGGTTTAGGGGGATGAACACAGAAACGCCCAAAGCCAAACAACGATTTAAGCAAACAAAAGGAAACACTAGTTCAGAATGCTCAGGGCTGACTGCACAAGAAGATGTGGCTGTTTGAACAAAGCCTCTCCAAAGCAGAGCACGGGGAGAATGTATGAAGAGGCCAACCTGCCCAAACTATCATCATGGTCTACATATCGCCCAACATATGTTGTTGTATGTATTTGTGCAGGCATGCATGTATAACGGCCGGTGCTGTGGGATGTTGTGGGTACCTTGCGGGTCGAGGAAGGGACCGACCTAACGCCGACTGCACTGACACATTTGTTTCGACGCTCGGACTCGCACGAAGCAGGCAAGGGGTGGTCAAGCGTTTAGCGTTTACACACGCTGACAACACAAAGGCAAAACAAACGCAAGCGCACACACACACACACACACAAAACCCTCAAGGCTAGCTTTTACATATGCTGAGTTATTTCAAGCGTGTGTGTGGAGTGAGTGAGTGAGTGAGTGAGTGAGTGAGTGAGTGAGTGAGTGACTGGGTGAATGAGTGAGTGAGTAGGTGGCTGGTGGGTGAGTGAGTGAGTGAACGCATGCATGCGTGCGTGCGCGGGTAGTGGGTGAGTAGTGCGTGAGTAGTGCGTGAGTAATGTGTGAGTACTGTGTGAGTAATGCGTGAGTAGTGCGTGAGTGTGTGTGTGTGTGTGTGTGTCTGTGTGTGTGTGTGTGGGTGTGTGAGTGTGGGTTTGACTCGCACTCGCGAGTGCGAGTGCGAGTGTGTGTGTGTGTGAGAGAGAGTCTGGTGTGTGTGTGTGTGTAAACGCCTGAACTTGGTGATCAGTCATTCTGTGCCAATCTGCAGGGGGGCAGAGG